TAATTCTTGTGGCGCCTCAAGACCTCTGCTGAATTCGGTGAGGCCGGAAACATACCTGGTTACAACACAGCCATGCTAATTTCGGCTGAGGCGTCTGCTGACTCACCCATGACATCTTCTGACTCACCCTTGGCGCCTGCTGACCCACCCATGACATCTGCTGACACCCATGGCAGCTGCTGACTCACCCATGGCATCTGCTGATAACCATGGTACAACACCCATGTCAATTCCAGCCATAACATCTGCTGACTCACCCATGGCTCTGCTGACTCAGACACGGAATCTGCTGACTCGAACGCGAAATCTGCTGACTCAAACACGGGATCTGCTGACTCAAACACGGAATCTGCACACTACTAAATGACATCTGATGACTCACCCATGTTGTAGTCGCCATGATGATGCTGTCCTTGTACTTCATCGCAAGCACCGAGGCTGATGCCCATGGTACAACACCCATGCAAATTCCGGCCATGACATCTGCTGACTCACCCATGGCATCTGATGACTCACCCATGGCACCGCTGACTCACCCATGGCAGCTGCTGACTCACCCATGGCATCTGCTGACTCACCCATGGTATCAGCTGCCATGATGATGCCGTCCTTGTACTTCATCGCCAGCACCGAAGCGCCGGTCACGTACGGGTACCTGCGCGCGGGGCGCGTGGGCGCACATGCATGGGACACGAGAAAGGTACAGGTAAGCGATGGGTTGCGAGAGATGAGATGAAGGGATGACTTGGAAGGAAGCAAAAGCGCGGTTGCGAGACGAAGCAGAGAGGTATTTCGGGATAATCCAGGATCATCTAACGTGAATTGTCAGTGAACAAATTGTGAATCTAGAAAAAAATCACGAATTTCGTAAGAGCTCGTGCCAACATAAGGTGACTCAGATGTTGTACGGAACGGTGACGATAAGAGAAATACGACGTGAATGAATGAAAATCTCACATACAAAAAACATCCGTCCCTGCGAAATATCCGTCCTCCCTGCAGAATCACTCACTGCGTGTGCTTGATCGGATCTAGTCCGGAATTTACGGGAACCATCGGGCCGCACACGACGCCAGCGCGCTCACTGCCAGAAACAACCTTCTCGTCCTCTCTAACCTTCCCGTGGCTGCACGTGGGACCGTGGAACATTTCCGGGAGCTGCGGCGGCCCGGGTGGGATGCCGAATCCGCGATAGTCGTGTCGAATCATGCTGCTTGGAGATATTAAAGCCGTCAGAGCAACAACAGCAGAGAACCGACGCTGAGATAGAGATTAAGGGCCTGATTAAAATCGACGGTACGACTACTAATTGACTCTGCGATCTGCGGAGTCAACTCTTACTGGGATTTGGCTCGTGTGTGAGAAGGGATGTGACTGGTCAACGTGAAGGGCCGATCCTCGATATAAATTTGGAGGAGCGTGACAGAAACTACATATTCGAATGCTTACATTCATTATCCACTGATACCGAAGGTTCTCTCCATATGTTTATGTGAGCTAAAGCGAAACCAATTAGGCGTTGATTAAGTCAAGAAACCAGAATTTCAATAATCATGCGTTAGCCTTCAATCCCTGCATGACTGTATGGAGATTGGTTTTACTCGTATGCCTGAGAAAGCGCACTCCATAGAACTGGTGTAATTCACAAAGAAATTCACACGTTCGTACCGGCATATAAAGGTTGTCTTTGAGGAACACATCTTTTCGAAACAATGAATACTCACTTACGTTCTGACGTGTAAACTTTCGCCCACTTGTGAAAGCCACATCTTTCAAGCCTACCACATCTTTCAAGCCTTTTTACTAGCACTCCACATGCCACACGAAAATTGTGAAATTAGACATCGTCGTATACCAAGATGTGGGTGGTATGTGCGAGTCTTACTAGAGGTTGGCCTGATAAGAGGCCATAGGAACATGCCCTGAGATACAGTAATATCAGTGGAAGGAGATCGGTCTGTCAGAGGCTCGGACTTCAGAGGCTGTTTCCAAAGCAACCAGTGCCGAAGTTGGAGGCTCGAGCTCCAGCTCTGGTGATACCAGGGCAACAGGGCAACAGTAGGTACCCTGCCTTGCATTATTTGTTATATCCCCTACAGCACCATCTGGCTGCTCTGGGTCTCCAGGTGCTGCTGAATCAATAGGTTTTCCTGTGAAGTCCTTTGGCTCTGCTGAGTTGACACAACGGGCCAGGGAAGCAGAGGAAGAGGAGATGGAGGATGAGGACGCGGAAGGAGGAGCAGGCAGGAGGGGGGTGGCGCGGGGAGGAAGCGAGGGAGGAAGGCAGGGAGTGCAGAGAGGTGAAGCTGGTAGACGAGGTGATGCCTCGGTTGCTGTGAGCTGCCGGCCACAGGCACGCCTGCAGCTCAGTAAACGCCTCCCTCAGTCGAGCCTGCCGTGCCGCCCGCTCCTCCGCCAGTACCACCTCCCTCCACGTGCTGCCCGGCCCAAAATTTTCCTCACCTGCCCGGCCCGCGCTGCCCGGTTTCTCCAGCCCCACAGGGACAACCACCATCCGAGCTGCCACCACTGGTTTCTTCTGCCCCCAAACCCCCCCTTCCCGTTCCCTCCCTCCTCCGTTTCACCCTCCTCCTCCTTACAATACAGCTCTAGTACACAGGAGGCGTGGGGGTTGACGCGTTTCAAGTCGGTGACTAAGTGGAAAGCCTCTGAATTCAGAAGCAGGTGGCTGCAGATGGCGCCTGTGCTGGGTGGCGTGCTTGTAGGCGGTGTGATTGTAATGGGTGACGTGCCTTCCTTGTAGCCTATCAGCTGGTGAGGATGGTGTGGGAGATGGAAATGGAAAGCGAGAGGAGTGTGGAAAGGTTAGAGTGAAGTCGAATGCGTAAGCTGGTAAGAAACGAATGCCCTCAGCAGAATTAGCTGGCATTGACTCGCGTTGACTCACATTGACTCGCGTTGACTCACCTGTGGCGGGCCGCCCATATGGTTGGTGGAGTAGAGAGTAGCCACGTCCACGAGGTCACAGTATGCCTCCACACTGCAGCATTGACTCACGCTGACTTGCGTTGACTCACCTGAGGCGGGCCGCCCATGTGATTAGTCGAATAAACTGTTGTAACGTCCACGAGGTCACAGTACGCCTCCACGCTGCTGTACTTGCATTGACTGGCATTGACTCACGTTGACTTGCATCAACTCCCACTAACCTGAGGCGGCCCCCCCATGTGATTAGTCGAATAAAGTGTTGCCACGTCCACGAGGTCACAGTACGCCTCCACGCTGCTGGCAAACAGCTTGTGCGACCGCAGCTGCTCGTGCACCGGCACTCCCCTATTGGTCAAAATGGCTCGCCTGGGTCGGTTCAGGGAAGGAGAGCATGACGTGGAAAGACAGGGGGTGGGTGGGACAGCTTGTGCGACCGCAGCTGCTCATGCACGGGAACTCCTGTCGTTGTTAGGATGGCCCACCCGGGATGGCAGAGAGGAAGGCCCAGATGGGAGAGACTTGGGATAGTTACCGTAGACGTTTCGGGCCCCTAGTGTCCGACGCTGAACAATCAAGAAAAAGCTGGACGCTTAGGAAAAGAAAAGTCACCCCACAAATAAAAAGGATGATGTTATTACAGTGATAATAGTTGTTAGTATAATTACTACTATTTGTGTGTGAGTGTGTGTGTGTGCTTTGCCCCAACAATGCTCCCCTCCCCTCCGCATTCCCTAGCTTTTTGGCCTCCCATACCCCTTGGCCGACCCCACGCCCCATGCCTTACCCCACCCCATACACCATTCCACGTCTCACCGCATGCCGCGCACAACAACCAGGTGGGCATCACACACCACGCCCACCAGCACCGCAAGCCCATTCCCATGCCTCCTCCCTGCCGCCCATTCCCATTCTCATGCAATCCCTTAACCCATGCCTCCTCCCACGTCTCACCGCATGCCGCGCACAACAGCCAGGTGGGCATCACACATCACGCCCACCAGCACCGCAAGCCCATTCCCATGCCTCCTCCCTGCCGCCCATTCCCATTCTCATGCAATCCCTTAACCCATTCCTCCTCCCACGTCTCACCGCATGCCGCGCACAACAGCCAGGTGGGCATCACACATCACGCCCACCAGCACCGCAAGCCCATTCCCATGCCTCCTCCCTGCCGCCCATTCCCATTCTCATGCAATCCCTTAACCCATGCCTCCTCCCACGTCTCACCGCATGCCGCGCACAACAGCCAGGTGGGCATCACACATCACGCCCACCAGCACCGCAAGCCCATTCCCATGCCTCCTCCCTGCCGCCCATTCCCATTCTCATGCAATCCCTTAACCCATGCCTCCTCCCACGTCTCACCGCATGCCGCGCACAACAGCCAGGTGGGCATCACACATCACGCCCACCAGCACCGCAAGCCCATTCCCATGCCTCCTCCCTGCCGCCCATTCCCATTCTCATGCAATCCCTTAACCCATGCCTCCTCCCACGTCTCACCGCATGCCGCGCACAACAGCCAGGTGGGCATCACACATCACGCCCACCAGCACCGCAAGCCCATTCCCATGCCTCCTCCCTGCCGCCCATTCCCATTCTCATGCAATCCCTTAACCCATGCCTCCTCCCACGTCTCACCGCATGCCGCGCACAACAGCCAGGTGGGCATCACACATCACGCCCACCAGCACCGCAAGCCCATTCCCATGCCTCCTCCCTGCCGCCCATTCCCATTCTCATGCAATCCCTTAACCCATGCCTCCTCCCACGTCTCACCGCATGCCGCGCACAACAGCCAGGTGGGCATCACACATCACGCCCACCAGCACCGCAAGCCCATTCCCATGCCTCCTCCCTGCCGCCCATTCCCATTCTCATGCAATCCCTTAACCCATGCCTCCTCCCACGTCTCACCGCATGCCGCGCACAACAGCCAGGTGGGCATCACACATCACGCCCACCAGCACCGCAAGCCCATTCCCATGCCTCCTCCCTGCCGCCCATTCCCATTCTCATGCAATCCCTTAACCCATGCCTCCTCCCACGTCTCACCGCATGCCGCGCACAACAGCCAGGTGGGCATCACACATCACGCCCACCAGCACCGCAAGCCCATTCCCATGCCTCCTCCCTGCCGCCCATTCCCATTCTCATGCAATCCCTTAACCCATGCCTCCTCCCACGTCTCACCGCATGCCGCGCACAACAGCCAGGTGGGCATCACACATCACGCCCACCAGCTCGATGCGATACGGCAGCCGCTGCTCACTGCCCCTCCTCTGCCCCCGCCTCTCCCAGCACATCCCGCCTCCCTGCCGTGTCCCTTCCATGCCCCCCTTCCCCTGCCTTTGCCCGTGTCCCTGCGCCCGCCCCTGCCACTGCCCCTGCCCCTTCTTGCTGTTCCAGTAGCTTCCCCTGCCTGATCCCAGTGCTCTCCTAGGACTGCTGTGCCTCTTGGGCCGGTGCTGACCCTCCTTCCCTGGATTTTCCTTCCTCCTCTCCACCTCCCCATCCCCTCTCTCGCTGCCCATTCCCTCTCCACCCTCTATTGCCCTCCCCTCCTCCTCCCCTCTCTCCCTCCCCTCCTCCACTCTTCTATCACTCTCCCCCTCCTCATCAACCTCCTCCCAATATCGCTCCACCACACTCTCATCCTCCTCCTCCTCATCCTCTTCCTCCTCCTCCTCCTCCTCCTCCTCCTCCTCCTCCTCCTCCTCCTCCTCCTCCTCCTCCTCCTCCTCCTCCTCCTCCTCCTCCACCTCCTCTTCCTCCTCCTCCACCTCCTCCCAATACCGCTCCACCACACTCCCATCCTTTTTCACTTGATACCCCGGGCCCATCCTGAATCTCTTCTCATGCACCCGTCTAGCCATTGCAATCGTCTGCTGCACAAACGGCGCCCATGACATGGTCCCATCAAAGATCACATCGCGCCCCTCGTTCAGCGCGGTTACCAGCGTTGACTGCGCCGCCTGGGTCGACTCCTCGTGGACCAGCTGTGAGATGCGGGCGGCGTCGTTCAGCCGGTCAGCAGAGAGAGCTCGGAAGATTGCGTCCTTCTCCTTGAAGGCGTCGGAATCAACCACCACCGCAAAAGGCGCCATGCTGAGGAAGAGGGGGCGAAGGAGGGGGGAGGGGAAGAGGGGAGGGGCGGAAGGAGAAAAGAAGAAGCAAATGAGAACGCTGGAAAGAGTGCGTCCTTCTCCTTGAAGGCGTCGAAATGAACCACCGCCAAATGTGGCGCCATGCGCCCAAAAGGTGTTATAATTTCCTAGACCACCATTCACTTGCCAGCGCCCATGCCCCGCACATAGCCATTGCGTCAAAATAACCCGTGATAGCACAAGCGCTGTATCTTTCTACACCCCACTCCATCCCTCAACACCCCACTCCACTACCCTGTCTCTCACAGCACTCATTCCCCTCACCGTTTCATGATCTCCTTGACCACCGTTGACTTGCCAGCGCCCGCGCCTCCGCCTATCAGCAGCAGCACGGGGAGCGCACTGCCTTAGCACACACACTCACCCTACCTATCCCTCAACCCACCGTTTCATGATTTCCTTCACAACAGTTGACTTGCCGGCGCCCCCGCCTCCCCCAATCAGCAGCAGCACGGGGGAGCGCACAGCTGCTGCTGCCGGCACCATCACCTCCCCCTCCCTCGGGACCTCCACACTTGACGGGCGTGGGCGGGAGGGCGAGCGGGCACGAGACGGAGAGTGAGAGGGAGAGTGATAGGGGGAGTTAGAAGGGGAGGAAGTGGGGAACTGGAAGATAGAGTGAGGGGGGGAGTAGGTGCCACCCTCACGGTCGATACCACTCTCAGAGCCAGTACCCACTAGTTCTTTGCCTTCTGATCTTCTGCCCTCCTCACCCTCTCCCCCTTGTCTCGCTTCCCCTTGCCCCGGTCCCCCTTTGCTCTCTCCTGCTTTCCCAACTTTCCCCGCTCCTCCCGCTCCCACTGCTCCTCCCGCCCCCTCCACTCCCGCTGCTCCCCCTGCTCCCCCCACCCCCCCCGCACCCCCAGCTTCCCCCGCTCTTCCAAGGCGGGGGCCGCAGCCGAGGATCTGCATCTTGTGCGGGCTGCGGGAGAAGCGCTGCTGCGGGCGCAGACACGTGATGGCCTCGTTGAACCGCCTCTGCCTGCAAAGAGGGGCGGGGGGAGGAGAAGTGGAGGGAGAGGGTGAAGTTAGGTCGCACTCTGTTTCTTTCACCTTGTTTAGCGCTGAGGTGGGGTTGGTGAGTAGCATCTATTTGGATAAGAGAATAGCAGCTACTTGGAAAGGCACACACACACACAGACGCACAGACTCACAGACGCACAGAGGGTGGCTCACCGAATGACGGCATTAACGACGTCCCTCAAGTGCAGCTTGCTGCTTGGTTCCCGGAATACCCACAAGGGCGCATGGGGACGGGCGCATGGGGACGGGCGCATGGGGACGGGCGCATGGGGACGGGCGCATGGGGACGGGCGCATGGGGACGGGCGCATGGGGACGGGCGCATGGGGACGGGCGCATGGGGACGGGCGCATGGGGACGGGCGCATGGGGACGGGCGCATGGGGACGGGCGCATGGGGACGGGCGCATGGGGACGGGCGCATGGGGACGGGCGCATGGGGACGGGCGCATGGGGACGGGCGCATGGGGACGGGCGCATGGGGACGGGCGCATGGGGACGGGCGCATGGGGACGGGCGCATGGGGACGGGCGCATGGGGACGGGCGCATGGGGACGGGCGCATGGGGACGGGCGCATGGGGACGGGCGCATGGGGACGGGCGCATGGGGACGGGCGCATGGGGACGGGCGCATGGGGACGGGCGCATGGGGACGGGCGCATGGGGACGGGCGCATGGGGACGGGCGCATGGGGATGGGCGCATGAGGATGGGCGCATGGGGATGGGCGCATGGCGATGGGAACACAGGGATGGGCGCACGGGGATGGGCGCACGGGGATGGGCGCACAGGGATGGGCGCACGGGGGTGGTAGGGATGCATGTGCTGCCAATAACTTTTGAGTTGTCTTGACATTCCATCCCCTGCCTTGCCTCCCCTTGCCTCCCACCCACTTGTTCCAACATGACCGCAGAGTCCGGCCCTCCTCATTCTTCCCCGTAGAGTCAGCAATTCAGTTGAGTCTCATTCTTCCCCTCCTCTTGTCCCCTCCTCACCTCCCCTTGCCCCTCTCCCCACCCCGTGCCCTCCCACGCACCTGTTCGATCATGAGCGCGGAGTGCGGCCAGTGGAAGCCAAAGTAAGACAGCATGCACGCGTCCAGCTCCGCAACTAGCTCCTCCCCCAACTCCTCTGAACCCCGCCTTAATCCCGCCTCCTCCCCCGCCCCCCCCTCTTCCCCCGCCTCCGCCTCCACCCCCGCCTCCCCCTTCCCCATCACCCGCCCACCCCCCGTCTGTGCGACGAGCGCGAGCAGGTTGGCGCGGCTCTTATCGGATGTGCTCTTATCGCCCCGCACGTAGTCGTCCGCCGCCTGCGCTAGTAGCGCCACCGCCGCCAGGTCCGTGGGGAGACCGAGCTGGCGCACTGGCGGAGGGGGAAGCGGAGCGGCGGACGGGAAAAGGGGGAGTGGCAGAACGGGGACGGGGCGTGGTGGAGAGGGAAGGTGCGTGGCGAAAGGGGGAAGGAGGGGCGGCAGGGGGAAGGGAAAAAGGGTAGGGAAAAAAAAAAGGCGAAGAGGGACAGTGGGTTGAGACTGGAGCGATATGACTGCCGTAGTCAATACCATCGCGGAAAACTCAGCTCCGCGAATTCGACAGCCGGAGGTTTTCTTCCGGAAAAGCGTACTAAAAGTCACAAATAGCTCTCAAAAGACCCCTTCGTCACGAATAAATCACGAATTGCTCAACGCCCATTAGGGAGTTCTGCGGGTGTTGAGGCTCGCGCCGCTCATTTCATGCCACGGGCCGCACATTTTACATTCCCGCGTCAATGTACATTTCGCGAGTCGCACATTTCGGGAGCTGTACACCACTGCGCAGTACGTCGCCGCTATTGTGCTATTGTCATCCAACAGTACAAGAACCCTCAGCTTCACAACCAATTTAATTAGCCCATACGTTTGCAACACTCACGCATCCAAAATAGGGACTCTCATCCACAATAAATCGCCCGCATGTTCACACTCGCAATACACAATTTGATGCATACCTGGGACGATACAAAGATTCTTCGAGGACTGCCAGTCCCATTATCAAAACCCCGAGTATCCTTCCGGATCCTTGATGGGGTCACTTCCGGGTCGTCCCACATCAGACCCAACCGAAAGCCCGAAATCGACCCACCCGACCCGAAAGAGACCATTCGCTCGAACAGTATGCACTGACATTTAAGCGCACTAAGATAGCGATTAATCTCCATTCCCTACTACGTCACCGACGCGGACGCCGCGCACTCACCCACGTATTCGCCGAATCGCTCGATTCGTTTCACTTTGCCCGAACTCGCCGATCGTTCTACCAGCGGAATCAGATGAGCCACGCGCTCCTGCTCCCTTTCCGCGCCGCCGTGCTTCTCGCCGGTAAACACGCTGCGCCACGACAAACGCCGCCGCCCATTGCTGGTCGACCAGCATTTGTATGCGCGTTTGGCCCATTGACGCAGACCGCGCAGTCAGATCAAGGATAGACTGACAGCTGTCGCTGCGGCGGCGAACGCGGCTATGATTGCGACTGACGGGCCGCGCCCTCCCCCGCTCAGAGTGATGGTGTTTCCAGCCATAACTAGCCAGGAAAAAACTGTTGTTTACTGTTGTTGTGAATCGGCCCGTCCCATGGCATATGTATGGGGCCAACGCCGCAGTGTTCACAGTCACAATCCAACTTGGGCTTTGGATGAGCTTGTGAGCTGGGGCGGCATGAACCGATTTGGGTCGCGGGGATAGGGTTACTTGACCAAATTTACGCCGAAGTCTGAAAAGGACAGTCGCGAATTTCGCCGATGCGCCTCGCTTGCGCGACGCCGTTGGCTGGTCGCCACGTATGCCCACCGGTTCGTGTATCTCCCACCTTGACGTCTCTGAACAGCGCGCCACCTCACCGATTGGTTGACGACGCGCGTTTTGGATACGACGCCATTACAGTCCAGAAAGCTGCGACCAAGAAAATGAGTACTATACAGTCCCCCACAATGCGTCTTGTACATTCTGCGAGGAATTTCATGGGAAGTACGCGGCTCGACAAATCTATGAACTTCGATCGACATTAGCTGTTTCGGTAAAATAAGCAGCGTATACACGCACTATCAGAAACACACCAGTACATACGAAAACTTCTAGCGAGCTGCATGGCACTTTACGACGTTCGCGAATTCCGAAGATTTTTTTAAAGTTAGCAATTCTGCTACTGTACTAAATGAATACCGAGCCATACCAACGCGAGCAATCCCCACCCACCTGTATTCAAATCTTGAACGTTCCATACCATACTGTCCCTGTCCACCAGTACCGTATTTGCAGAAAGGGGACGCTTTCCGAGGCACATCTATGGTACACACACAAGTTTCCGTGCACCTGCACTGCACATCACTGAGATGAGACACAGCAATATCATTGAGATACAGCACTATCAATGCATGGAGACAGGTCGGCCAGAGGCTCGGACTCCCGAGGCTGTTTCCGAAGCAACCGACGCCGCAGCTCGAGGCTCCGGCTCGTGCTCTGGTGATGCCAGAGTAACAGGGCAACAGTAGGTACCCTGCCTTGTACCATTTGTTCTATCCCCTACAGCACCATCTGGCTTAGCGTGCATCGAGCCAATTGGCTGCTCTAAGTCTTGAGGCGCTGCTGAGTCGTTTTGCTCTGCTGAGTCGTTACGCTCTGCTGAGTCGTTCCGGCGGGCCAGGGAAGCAGCGGAGGAGGAGGAGGAGGATATGGAAGAGGAGGAAGCGGAAGGAGGAGCAGGAGGAGGGGGGTGGCACGGGGAGGAAGTGAGGGAGGAAGGCACGGAAGGGAGGGATTGCAGGGAGGTGAAGCTGGTAGAAGAGGTGATGCCTCGGTTGCTGTGAGCTGCCGGCCACAGGCACGCCTGCAGCTCAGTAAACGCCTCCCTCAGTCGAGCCTGCCGCGCCGCCCGCTCCTCCGCCAGTACCACCTCCCTCCACGTGCTGCCCGGCCCAAACTTTTCCCCGCCTGCCCGTGCTGCCCGGTTTCTCCAGCCCCACAGGGACAACCACCATCCGGGCAGCCACCAGAGGTTTCTCCTGCCCCCCCTCCCTCCCTCTCCATCCCCATCCCCATCCCCCTCTCCCTCCTTAAAGTAAAGCTCGAGAACGCAGGAGGCGCGGGGGTTGACGCGCTTCAAGTCGGAGACCAAATGAAATGCCTCTGAGTCCACCAGCAGGTGGCTGCACACCCCTCCGCTGCAGATGGCGCCCGTGCTGGGGGGCGTGCTTGTAGGCGGTGTGATCATGCTGGTTGGGGTGGACGGTGGGGTGGTTGGTGCGCTTCTCGGGGGTGACGTGCCCTCCTTGTAGCCTATGAGCTGGTGGGGAGGGAGGGAGGGAAAGAGGGCGGGAGGGAGGCGCGGGGATTGACGCGTTTAAAGTTGGAAACCAAATGAAATGCCGCTGAGTCCACCAGCAGGTGGCTGCACACCCCCCCGCTGCAGATGGCACCAGTGCTGGGGGGCGTGCTTGTAGGCGGTGTGATCATGCCGGTTGGGGTGGATGGTGGGGTGGTTGGTGCGCTTCTCGGGGGTGACGTGCCCTCCTTGTAGCCTATGAGCTGGTGGGGAGGGAGGGAGGGAAAGAGGGCGGGAGGGAGGCACGGGGATTGACGCGCTTCAAGTCGGAGACCAAATGAAATGCCGCTGAGTCCACCAGCAGGTGGCTGCACACCCCCCCGCTGGGGCGTGCTTGTAGGCGGTGTGATCATGCTGGTTGGGGTGGACGGTGGGGTGGTGGGTGCGCTCCTGGGGGGTGATGTGCCTTCCTTGTAGCCTATGAGCTGGTGGGGGTGGTGGAGGGAGGGACGGCGGGGTAGAGGGAGGGAGAGAGGAAGGATTCTAGAGTTGCCTGGAAAATCAATCCGTTGATAAGGATGGTGGAGGTAGAGGGGGTGGAAGACGGAGGGAGGGAGGAAAGGGATCAGTGCGAAGGTCAAGTAAGGGCGAACCTGTAAGCTGGTATGCAAAGTACAAAGAGTACAAGAAGTATAGAAAAATACGAGTGAGAAAATGGTGTGAGAAATGCCGGAGTTGACTTGCATTGACTGGCGCTGACTCACAATGACTCAAGTTGACTCACTTTGACTCACTGACCTGAGGTGGCCCTCCCATGTGGTTACTAGAGTAGAGAGTTGCCACGTCAACGAGGTCACAGTATGCGTCCACGCTGCTGGCAAACGGCTTGACTAGCTGTGACTTGCGTTGACATTCGTTGACTCACCTGAGGCGGCCCCCCCATGTGGTTGGTGGAGTAGAGAGTAGCCACGTCAGCGAGGTCACAGTACGCCTCCACACTGCAGCATTGACCCACATTGACTTGCGTTGACTAACCTGAGGCGGCCCGCCCATGTGATTAATGGAGTAGAGTGTAGCCACGTCCACGAGGTCACAGTACGCCTCCACACTGCAGCATTGACCCACATTGACTTGCGTTGACTAACCTGAGGCGGCCCGCCCATGTGATTAGTGGAGTAGAGTGTAGCCACGTCCACGAGGTCACAGTACGCCTCCACACTTGCTGGCAAATAGCTTGTGCGACCGCAGCTGCTCATGTACCGGCACTCCTCTCTTGGTCAGGATGGCGCGCCTGGGGTGGCAGAAAGGCCCGAGGAGTGGGCGGGGAGAGGGGACGTGGAGAGGGGTTGGGTTGGGATGGGTGGGACAGCTTGTGCGACCGCAGCTGCTCGTGCACCGGCACTCCAATCTTGGTCAGAATGGCTCGCCTGGGAGGGAAGGAATGGCCAGAGAGGGGCAGGGAAGATGTGGAAAGACAGGGGTGGGATGGGAGCGTGGGTGGGGTGATGGAAGGAAGGAAGGAAGGAAGGAAGGAAGGAAGGAAGGAAGGAAGGAAGGAAGGAAGGAAGGAAGGAAGGAAGGAAGGAAGGAAGGAAGGAAGGCCTAGATGGGAGAGACAAGGTTGGGGTGGGTACAGACGATTCGGGCCCGACGCTGGACACTCACGGAAACGCTGGGCGCTTGGCTTTTGAGAATTCTCAAAAGTCACTCCCATATAGCTGGCGCTTGGCTGAATAGAAAGAATGTCACCCCACAAATATATAGGGTGCTGCTACATTTCCCAACTTTTTGGCCTCTCCTCCTACCCCAAGCCCCATGCCTTACCACACGGTTCCCACCCCACCGCATCCCTCACCCCACCCCACCGCGTCTCACCGCATGCCGCGCACAACAGCCAGGTGGGCGTCGCACATCACGCCCACCAGCTCGATGCGATACGGCAGCCGCTGCTCCCCGGCCCCCCTCTGCCCTCTCCTCTCCCAGCACATCCCCCCTCCCTGCCGTGTCCATTCCATGCCCCCCTTTCCCTGCTTTTGCCCCTGTCCCTGCCCCTGCCCCTGCGCCTTCTCGCTGCTGCAATAGCTTCCCCTGCCTGATCCAAGTGCTCTCCTTGGACTGCTGTGCCTCTTGGGCCGGTGCTGACCCTCCTTCCCTGGCTGATCCCTCCTCCTCTCCTCCTCCCTCTCCCCTCTCTCGCTCCCCATCTCCTCGCCACCCTCTTGCTCCCTCCCATCCTCCTCCCCACTGATTTTCCCCTCCTCCTCCCCTCTCTCTCCCCTCCCCTCCTCCATCCCGCCCTCACTCCCCTCCTCCACCTCCTCCCAATACCGCTCCACCACACTCCCATCCTCTTTCACTTGATACCCCGGGCCCATCCTGAACCGCCTCTCATGCACCCGTCTAGCCATGGCAATGGTCTGCTGCACAAACGGCGCCCACGACATGGTCCCATCGAAGATCACGTCCCGCCCCTCGTTCAGCGCGGTTACCAGCGTTGACTGCGCCGCCCGGGTTGACTCCTCGTGCACGAGTTGCGAGATGCGGGCGGCGTCGCTCAGCCGCTCGGCGGAGAGTGCGCGGAAGATGGCGTCCTTTTCTTTGAACGCGTCGGCTTCCACGACCACTGCGTGTGGCGCCATGCGCGCCCAAAAGGTGCTGTGGGGGGGACGAAAGGGGAAGGATAGAAGGGGAGGGGCGGAAGGAGGATTGAAGAAGCACAAAAGAGCGCTCTGGAGATTTTGTACATTTCCTTGAAGGTGTCTGCTTCCACGACCACTGCATGTGGGGCCATGCGCGCCCAAAATGTGCTGCAGGGGGAAGAAGAGGCGAGAATGGGAGACGAGGGAAGAGGGGACAGAGAGCGCTCGTAAGTTTGCGTACTTTTCCTTGAAGGTGTCTGCTGCTTCCACGACCACTGCATGGGGCTATGCGCGCCCAGAAAGAGCTGCGGAAAAGGAAGAGAGCGAGAGGGGCGGTTGAAGAGAGAACGCTGGGAAGATTGCGTCCTCCTTGAGGGCGCCGGATTCCACAACTAATGCGTGACGGGCCATGCGCTCCCCGAGAGTGCTCAAGGGAAGAAGGACGGGGCAGGGAGGAGCTGCCGGAGAGCGCCGGGAAGCGCTTCTTTGAGAACTACTGCGTGTGGGGCCATGCGCGCCCATAAGGTGCTAGGGGGGGGGGGGTTGGGGGAGGAGGGGGGGTGGGTGGGGGGGAAATGTTATGCGGGGAAGGGAGAGTGGTGAAAGGGGAGAAAGAAAGCAGAGGAAAGTCCTGATAGCTCACTTCTAATCAGCAGCAGCACAAGCTTCTTGCAACTCAGCCCTGATAGCCCACGAGCTCTAACTCTCAACACCGCACTGTATGCCTTTGTCTCCCGCAGCACCCCCCCTCACCGTTTCATGATCTCCTTGACCACCGTTGACTTGCCGGCGCCCATGCCCCCACCAATCAGCAGCAACACGGGCGAGCGCACTGCCTTAGCACACTCACTCACCCTATCCCTCAACAATCTATCCCCCTCACCGTTTCATGATCTCCTTGACCACAGTTGACTTGCCGGCGCCCATGCCCCCACCAATCAGAAGCAACACGGGGGAACGCACCGCCGCTGCTGCCGGCACCATCACCTCCCCCTCCCTCAGGACCTCCGCACTTGACGGGCGCGGGCGGGAGGGCGAGCGGGAGGGAGAGTGAGAGTGCGAAGGAGAGCGAGAGGGGGAGTGAGAGGGGGAGTGAGAGGGGGAGGAAGTGGGGAACTGGAAGAGGGAGTGAGAGGGGGAGTGGGCGGTGAGGTGGTCACCCTCAGGGAGTGGGAGCGGGTCTCTGGTGCTCTTTGAGCCTGGCCGGACCCCATTCTTTGAGCGGACTTCACTCCCACTCTCACTCTCAGGGCCATCACTTCCCACTGCTTCACTGCTCTCGGCCGTATCTCTGCCTTCCCGTCCGTACCCCCCTTCAGATGCCCCCCCGTGGGCTCCTTCTCCCTGTCCCGCTCTCCCTTGCCCCGCTCCCCCTTGCCCCACCCCCCCTGCTCCCCTCGGGCGGGGGCCACAGCCGAGGACCTTCATTTCTTCCAGCAGCTGGGAGAAGCGCTGCTGCGGGCGCAGACACGTTATGGCCTCGTTGAACCGCCTCTGCCTGCGTGGGGGGGTGCAGAGCATGATATGGTATGATAGTGCCATTATTACTACAACAACTATTAAAAATGGCATGAATATTAGTTTAAACTACAACAACAATAACAGTAACTCCTGGCACACTGTAACATAGGGAGGTGGGGTAACTAGCTGCAGCTCATGCGGAGTTGGGCTCATTGCAACGGAGGGCCCCTTTTTTTGAGAATTCTCATCGTAATGGGCCAAACTCCGCATCGTGTAGACCTGCAGCGTCTCATCGTGTAGACCTGCAGTGCAGTGCAGCACTCACCGGATGACGGCGTTGACGGCGTCCCTCTAGTGCAGGTCAGCTTGCTGCTGGGCCCTCGGAATACCCGTAGGGAGTTTTGAGTCGACTCAAAGCACACCTTTTTGGATACGAGGATGGGGAGACACAGAACGCTGGGTGGGTGGGTGGGTGGGTGGCTCACCGGATGACGGCGTTGACGGCGTCCCGCAAGTGCAGCTTACTGCTGGGCCCTCGGAATACCTGCGTGCATAAACGGGACATGCACAGGCGCACACGCATGGATGGGCTCACAGAGATGGGGCAAATGCACTCAGGCAGGGGGCATGCACATGTACATGCACATGCCAAGAAGGGAACACGCCCATGCACATGCTCGTGTGCTCAGATTGCTCCCACTGACATAGGCTACCCCGATATCAATCAAAGTGACTTTCGAGCCAACTTTCCAATGACCCGCCGACCCTGGACCTCCCGCCCACCTGTTCGATCATGAGCGCCGAGTGCGGCCAGTGGAAGCCAAAGTAGAGCTCGGCGCGCTCATGCATGAGTCAACCACCCCACCACCCTAACCAGCACCCGTCTCCTTCCCTCACCTTCCTCCCCACTGCCTACTCCCCTCCCCTCACCTGTTCGATCATGAGCGCCGAGTGCGGCCAGTGGAAGCCAAAGTACGACAGCATGCACGCGTCCAGCTCCGCGATCAGCTCCTCCCCCAACTCCTCCCCCGCCTCCGCCTCCCCTTCCGCACTGCCTCCCCCTGTCTGCGCGACGAGCGCGAGCAGGTTGGCGCGGCTCTTATCGGATGTGCTCTTATCGCCCCACACGTAGTCGTCCGCCGCCTGCGCCAGTAGCGCCACCGCCGCCAGGTCCGTGGGCAGCCCCAGCTGGCGCACTGGCCGACGGGGGAGGCGGAGAGGCGGAACGGGGAGGCGGAGTGGCGGAATGAGAAAGAGGGTGGCGGAAAGGGGACGGCGCGTAGCGGACGGGGAAAGGGAGAGAAACGGCAGGGGGAAAAGGGAGAGAAACGGCAGGGGGAAAAGGGAGAGAAACGGCAGGGGGAAAAGGGAGAGAAACGACAGGGGGAAAAGGGAGAGAAACGGCAGGGGGAAAAGGGAGAGGGAAGTGTGCGGAATGGGAGAAGAGGGGAGGCGAAGACGGACAGTGGGTTGAGAGACTGGAATGATATGCCTACTACTCGCTCGAAAAGTAGGCGCTGATACTTATATCCACTAAGTTAGCGATTAATATTCATCCCTACTACGTCAGCGATTCGGACTCGTCGTGTTTCACGCACCAACGTATTCGCCGAATCGCTCGATCCGTTTCACTTTCCCCAAACTCGCCGACCGTTCCACCAGCGGAACTAAATGAGCCACGCGCTCTCTCTCCTTTTCCGCGCCGCCGTGCTTCTCGCCGGTAAATACGCTGCGCCACGACAAGGCCCGCCGCCCACCGCTGGGCGGCACGCATTTCTGCGCGCGTTTGGCCCATTGACGCAGCCCTCGCAGGCCGACCAAGGACAGGCCGACAGCTGTCGCTGCGGCGGCGAGCGCAGCTATGGTTACGACTGACGGGCCGCGCCCTCCCCCGCTCACAGTGATGGTGCCTCCAGCCATGTCAGGGCAAGAAGGGGCTTTCTGCATCTGTGCATATAAAAACAGGGTAGACACGAGTTTTGATTTTTGTGTCAGCTCGTTCAGACTTTCATTTGTTCGTCAATTTGTTCAGTCTTCTTTCCCTTCGTCACCGCGTCTTCTTGTAAAGAGAATGCTTCCCCAACCACTTCACGTTTGACGAATCAAGATGATCGGAGCAAACAACGGCAGCTTATGAAAAAAGCAGCCTCAATATTGCGGTTCAGTATTTTCGAAGTTGCAGTTTCAGTGAGTAGACTCTATTAGGGTTAGGATGCTCTAGGCACCGGTTTTCTGTCCAGCGCTTGTGCACAAATTTCCCCTTTTCCGCTTGCAAAGTTCCGTGCTGCTTCGCTGACGTCTGTTCACTGCGGTCCTAGGGATTACCGCGTGAAAACGTTTTGCGGAATACTTCGCCATGGCGCCGCAGCATCGCGCCACGCGGAAGCTCCGCGACGCGCTATCGGCGCGCATTGAGGCGTACGAGGCGGACAAGATGGGTCGCCAGGCCGACATGGCTCGGCGCGCTGCAATGGAGCAGAGAGCCGCCAAGAACGGCCGGCTAGCCAGCAACATTAGCGGGGACAACGGTTACATTGGCTATGATCGTGGTGATAGTTCATCAGGCTTAGGGAATAGTTTTTCTGGCTTCCGCAATGCACGTCCTGCTTCAAACGGGGGTTCGTGTTCCCCCCGGAAAATCGAGGAAATCCTGCCGTGCGTTCCCGAGGACGCTCCAATCTCACCGTCGGATTCAGATGACTCGCTAGCAGCGCGCGAGGAAAAACTCCCGTTTCAAGGGCTCAGACGACGGCCTGTGGGACCCACCGCTAGTAGCACATCCCGCATTGTCACATTTGACCCTGCTCTTAGTACCGACCGAGCCGCCTCTTCGTCTTCCTCCTCCTCCTCCTCTTCCTCCGCCGTCTCCTCGTCCTATGGAGGAGCATCGCTCGGGATGCGCACATGGGCGCAGATATCGGCGCGCTTGGCCTGGTTACTCTTCTGCCTCGTCTCCCACGCCAGCCACGTGGCAAATGACTTCACCCTCCTCCTAGGCTTTTTCCTCACCGGGCAGGTGCTCACGCTGCCCGGCGCCGGCGCGTCGACGTCGCAGCACCTTCACCTGCCCGTTTTCGGCGCGACGAACGTGCACATCGGGCCGGCGAAGGGTAACACGTCGGCGAAGTTTATTCGCCCGGGCGTGAAGGGCGGCATCAGCATCAGCCGCATGTGCAAGAACTGCGCCTCGTTCGTCATGTACGCGGGCTGGAACATGCCCGGCGCGCTCGTGACGTGGCAGATGCTGCTCGATGTCGTCACCGCTGTCGCGTTATTGTCCATCCCGATACAGCTCTACGTCTTCGTTAAGAGCTCCAAGGCGAGTGATTATATGCGCTGCTGATTCGCGTGTTTGGATGTTGAGACGTCTCAGTACGAGGCCATGCTTACGAGTGTGGTATGGTAGCCTCGTTTCTCCGTGCCTGCCTGCCTTTCCCAGTCACCCTTTAGTCCCTCGTCCCTCGTTTCTTCCGCCAACTCGATTCAACCTTTCTTCCCTCCCCGTGCCCTCTCTCTCCTTCCCTACCCACCACGTGATCGGCCTCTTTCTGTCGGATCTCCCTTTGGCATGCTCCGCCTCGCCGTCCCTGCTCCTCTGCTCATTCCTCTCCCAACTCTCCTCTCTCCTCTCTCCTCTCTCCTCTCGCCTCTCTCCTCTCTCCTCTCTCCTCTCGCCTCTCTCCTCTCTCCTCTCTCCTCTCGCCTCTCTCCTCTCTCCTCGCGCCTCATGCCAGCGAACTCACTCCTCTTCTCCTCCCCTCTTTCCCCAATACCCCTTTCCCCCCGTACAGAAGTTCCCCTACCATTTGCTCATCCTGCAGTTCGGCGCCTTCGTCACCACCACGGGGTGAGTCATGCCGTGCCCATGTGCCACCATGCCATGCCATGCCACAATGCCATGCCCTGCCCATGTACAGCATGCCACACTCATGCCATACCATGCCATGCCATATTGTGCCATTCCATGCCATACCAAGCCCCCTCTCCCACCCCTCCCCACAGCCTGACCCATCTGTTGGAGCTGTTCTCATACGGGCATCTGCCGCGCTTCCTGCTGCTGGGCATCACGGCGTGCAAGCTGCTGTCCGCGCTCATCAGCTGCTGCACCGTGCTGCAGCTGGGGCTCGAGCTGAGCGACATTGCCATGGTGCACGAACGCACCGTGCAGCTCAAGAGCAAGGTGAGGAAGGCTGGGGGGCGAAGGAGGTGAGGAGGAGTTGGGACAGGGCGTGTCATCAGCTGCTGCAGCGTGCTGCAGCTGGGGCTCGAACTCAGCGACATTGCCATGGTGCACGAACGCACCGTGCAGCTTAAGAGCAAGGTGAGGACTGAGTTGCAGAGAGTAAGCTAGTCCCATGCGCCATGCAAGCAAGCTGCTGTCAGCTGCACCATGCTCCCTACTGGGGCCCGAACTCAGCGACATTGCCATGGTGCACGAGAGAACCGTGCAGCTCAAGAGCAAGGTGAGGTTTGGGGGGCGTGTCATCAGCTGCTACACCGTGTGGCTGGGGCTTGAACTCAGCGACATTGCCATGGTGCACGAGAGAACTGTGCAGCTCAAGAGCTAGGTGAGGAGGACTGGGGACTAGACTGTGCTTTGAACAACAACAGCGATCTGATCTGATTTGATACGTATCTGGAGGTCTCAGTGGCCCTCCTCCCTGCTTGCTCTTCCCCTTTCCCACCTCGTCCCGCCCTCCTTTGTCTTGGCCTGGCCCTTGGTGTTCGCCTTTCCTCTGCTCCCACCCCCACCCCCCCATGACTTTTGAGTCAACACCCCCCCGTGCATGCAGACGGAGGAGAGCAACAAGGAGGTGACGCGGCTGATGGAAGCACACGAGGTGGAGCAGCAGCTGAGACTGATAGGCCAGCGCATCCTGTTGTGTGCTAAGCATGTGGTCGCCCGGTTCCCCGCTCCTACTGTCCACCTTTCTCCCCCATCCCGCCTCCAGACGGAGGAGAGCAACAAGGAGGTGACGCGGCTGATGGAAGCACACGAGGTGGAGCAGCAGCTGCGGCTGATAGGGCAGCGCATCCGCAGCACGCTGGACCGCGGCGTCATCATCAGCACCGCGCTGCTCGAGCTGCGCGACCTGCTGGGCCTCGAAAACGCCGCGCTCTGGCTGCCCGCCCCTAACGGCCGGTCCCTGGAGCTGACGAATGAGTGCGAGCACCGAGTGAATCCCATGCTCACCCTCGTGCCGCTCAAGGACAAGGTCGTCTCGCAGGTGGGTCATATCACAAGGCACAAGCCATTAACCGCAGCCTTTCAATCCTTCGACCAATCTACACTTCAGGCAAGAGCCTTACGTACTAGAACGACCTGACCTGCTGGGACTTGGTAACGATGCGCTCTGGCTGCCCGCGCGCGCCCAATGGGCGGTCGCTGGAGCTGACCAACGAGTGCAAGCGAGCACAGAGTGAATCCCATCCCATGCTCTCGCTCGTTCCCCTCAAGGACAAGGTCGTCTCGCAGGTGAGCTCTGCCAGCCAGGCCTTCAGCGCTTGTGCACGTGAAACCCTACGCACTTGAACAGCCTCTGAGTGAGCCCTCGAGAACGCCGCGCTGTGGCTGCTCGCGCCCAACGGGCGGTCACTGGCTGGAGCTGACGAATGAGTGCGAGCACCGGGTCAACCCCATGCTCACTCTTGTTCCCCTCAAGGACAAGGTCGTCTCGCAGGTGAGTTGTGCCAGCCTTTCAGCCCTTGAGCGCGTGAAGAAGCCGTGAGTGAGCCCTTGGGGAACGCCGCGCTCTGGCTGCCCGCGCCTAATGGGAGGTCCCTGGAGCTGACTAATGAGTGCGAGCACCGAGTCAACCCCATGCTCACACTCGTGCCTCTCAAAGACAAGGTTGTCTCTCAGGCATGTGCTGCCAGCCAGCCTTCAAGGCTTCAACAACCCTTGAACCTCCTGACTTATACCTTTCCCTTTCCCTTTCCAACCGAGCGGCCATGGTCATCCCTTCACCCTGCCAGCTCGTGGAGTCAACTCAGAATTTCCCCGCCCTTCCCGTCCGCTTCCCCTCCTCTCGCCCCCCCCACTCCTTCCATCTTCAGGTGATAGCCAACCGCGCAGCCATGATCATCCCATCATCCTGCCAGCTTGTCGAGTGCTCCGCACTGCCGCCCCCACTAGGCTCGGGCCGAACCATTGAGGGAGGTAAGGCGGCCTGCTGCTTGCTGCGCATCGAGTGGCGGGTGGCTCGTGAGGTGGCTGCAGGTTGCTGCTCCTCTTGGAGTGAGAAGTGTCAAGCTTGAGGGGGGTAGGAGTGAGAGGATTAAGGGGGGTAGGAGTGAGAGGATTAAGGGGGGTAGGAGTGAGGGGAGCCAGGAGATTGGGAACTGCAGTGTGGCATTCTGCTGCTGCTGCTGCAAATGATACCTGAAATGCATTTCTGCCCTCATCCCTCCCACCTTCCCCCTCCCTCCCCTTCTTTCCCCATCTGTTCTGCCGCTCTCCTGTCCCGCCCTCCCCATCCTCCCCCAGGCGCTGCTGCCGTGCCGGTGACACTGGCAGACCCAGCCACGCCGGGAGCAAGGAGCCCTCAGGACGCGGCTGCATTGGAGTATGGCGTGCTCGTGCTGTTGCTGCCTGCTTGTCTCACATGCTCCCCATCCCTCATCGCTCCCCATCCCCTCCCCCAGGCGCTGCTGCCGTGCCGGTGACACTGGCAGACCCAGCCACGCCAGGAGCAAGGAGCCCTCAGGACGCGGCTGCATTGGAGTATGGCGTGCTCGTGCTGCTGCTGCCGGGGGAGGTCGCGGAGAAGGGCAAGGGGGGCGCAGGCGGAGGCGGAGGGGCGGGCGGAGGGGGAGGGGGAGGCGGAGGGGGAGAGGGCGGGTTGAAGAAGTTCCGCCAGGAGGTGCTGGAGAAGGTGGATACGGTTGCTGAGCAGGTGAGCGGGGAGGGGAGATCAGGAAAGGGGAGAGTTTCTTACTTGACTAAGGTATTTTCAGCAGGGAGGTGCTGGAGAAGGTGGATATGGTGGCGGTACAGGTGAGAGGGGAGGGGAGGGAGGGAAGTGGAGGGGGGGGGTGGGCGAGATTTCTGAGATTCTGAGGGGGAGGGGGCGGTCTGATACAGTATCCCTCTCTCCTTCTCTCCTCCCCGGCCACAGCTGGCAGTGGCGCTGCGGCATGCGGGGGTGCTGGAGGCGAGCCGGCAGGCACACGAGGTGTTGCTGGAGGAGGGCGAGCAGCTCAAGCAGGCCAACCTGGAGGGAAAATCCGCTGTCAAGGCGCGAGACAACTTCCTGCAGGTGCGTACTGGACAGGTGCCATCTGCGGCAGGTGCCATCTGCGGCAGGTGTCGTCTGAGACAGGTGCCATCTGAGACAGGTGCCATCTGATCTGGGACAGGTGCCATCTGATCTGAGACAGGTGCCATCTGAGACAGGTGCCATCTGAGACAGGTGTCATCTGAGACAGGTGTCATCTGAGACAGGTGTCATCTGAGACAGGTGTCATCTGAGACAGGTGTCATCTGAGACAGGTGTCATCTGAGACAGGTATCATCTGAGACAGGTGCCATCTGAGACAGGTGTCATCTGAGACAGGTGTCATCTGAGACAGGTGTCATCTGAGACAGGTGTCATCTGAGACAGGTGTCATCTAAGGCAGGTGCCATCCGAGGCAGGTGCCATCCGAGGCAGGTGCCATGTGCCATGTCAAGCTAGTATTGTCGTGGTGTAGTTTTTTACTAAGACAGGTGGGATCTGGGGTGGGTGCTCTCTCAGTCATGCGTTGTTGTGGTCCCTTTTGACCCGACCTTTCTTTTCTTTTCCCCCCTTCCCTCTGCAAGTGATGAACGTCAAGATGCGCACGCAAATGCACCCCGTCACCGTGCTCTCCCGTGTCCCCGTGCCCTTCCTTCCCCACTCCCCCATTTTCTCCCTACACCCCCTCCGCCCCCCTCCCCCCTCCGCCCCTCTGCACCCTCTGCAGGTGATGAACGCCAAGATGCGGACGCCAATGCACTCCATCACGGCGCTCTCATCCCTCCTCGCCGAGTCGGACCTGAACGACGAGCAGCGCTCCATGGCCGAAACCGTCGCCTTCTCCTCCACCCTCCTCGCCTCCCTCCTGTACGACATTCTCGAGTTCTGGCGACTGGAGGAGGACAACATGAAGCTCGTGCTGGGCCCCGAGCAGTTTGAGCTGCCGGCTCTGGTGACCGAGGCGGAGACGTTATCATCCCCCATTGCAAAGGACAAGGGCATCATGCTGACGTTCAAGGCGGATCCGAACCTGCCGGAGAGTGTGATCGGGGATGGCAACCGCCTGCTGCAGGTGCGTTGGTTTGTGGGAGTGAGTGAGTGAGCAGTAGAGGTATACGACTGGGGTGTTTGAGGCGCCTCTCAGGCCTCAAGAAACGCCTGTGACAAGCTGTGGCACCTCCGCACTCGTAAGTGTTCTTGAGTTACCTGCACTCTTTTGAGACGTCTCAAAAGACGTCTCAACACTCGAGCCTCAAGAAACGCCTGTGACAAGCTGTGGCACGAGAATGTTGTTGAGTTGCCCGCACCGCACTCGTCGGCACCCAGGTGGAGGCTCTATCCTCCCCTCTTGCCAAGGACAGAGGCATCATGCTCACCTTCAAGGCGAAGCCCCACCTCCCTGAGAGCTTAATTGGGGACAAAACAAAGGTTGCTATTTGAGCTGTTTTTTTAGAATTCTCAAAAACCAGCCCAACCTTCCTGAGAGCTTAATTGGGGACAAAAGTCGCTATTTGAGTCGACTAAGAAATTGACCTGCCTGAGAGCATGATTGGGGACAGGAACCGGCTGCTGCCGGTGCGTGCGTGTGGTTTAGCGGCATAGCTTTCCATCAAGCACGTGGGTGGGAACCTAAGCCCACTCATACACACACATTATACCCCCTGCCCCCTTTCACCCTCCCGCTCTTCCCCCCAGGTGCTGCTGAATGTGATAAACAACGCCATCAAGTACACAAACACGGGCACCATTACAGTCACCGTCGCCCCCGAGCGCATGGAGTGGGCGCGCGACGGATTCGTGCTCAAGGCGGAGGCGGGGCACACGTTCATCCGCTTCGAAGTCAAGGACTCGGGCGTGGACCTCCAGGCCGCCGACATCCCCAAGCTGTTCGACAAGTTCCAGGAGGACGAGACCAAGGGGAGCAGGACTGGATTGGGTCTTGCCCTTTCCCGGAAGTTTGTGCAGGTGAGGCTTTGGGGTGAGAGCTGGGGCGAGAGGGTGGGAGTAGAGGGTGGGGTAGCAGCTTGAGGCTTTGTGCTCAAGGCGGAGGCGGGGCACACGTTCATCCGCTTCGAAGTCAAGGACTCGGGCGTGGACCTCCAGGCCGCCGACATCCCCAAGCTCTTTGACAAGTTCCAGGAAGATGAAACCAAGGGGAGCCGTACGGGTCTCGGCCTGGCGCTCTCAAGGAAGTTTGTGCAGGTGAGGGCTGGGATTAATGGTGGGGTGAGAGAGAGAGGGAGTTGGGGGTAGGGTTGCAGGCTGAAGCGTGAGTATATGGGAAGGGGGGCGGGGATGTGGAGAGGCTTTGTGCTCAAGGCGGAGGCGGGGCACACGTTCATCCGCTTCGAAGTCAAGGACTCGGGCGTGGACCTCCAAGCGGCCGACGTCCCGAAGCTGTTTGACAAGTTCCAGGAAGATGAGACCAAGGGCAGCAGGACTGAATTGGGGCTGGCGCTCTCCTGCAAGTTCGTGCAGGTGAGGCCTGGGTTGAACCCGGGGGGGACAGGGCGGGGTGCATGGGGGGACGGGACGGGGCGTGCAGGGCAGCAGGGGCTTTGTGCTCAAGGCGGAGGCGGTGCACTTCGGCTCCCTCTAGGAAGCATGTTTAGGTGAGGGTGGGTGATGGTCGGAGTGAGAGGAAAGCCACTTGAAGATTCATAAGGTGCCTCCCTCTCTGCGTTTCTCCATCCATGCGTCTCTGCCTCCTTGCCCACATACCAGCTGATGAACTAGCATATCTGCATTTTCCCTCCCTGCTTCCCCTCCTGCCTCTCTGCCGCCCCCTCTGCTACCCTTCCTCCCTCCCTCCCTGCCTTGCTGCCTCCCTGCCCCACTGCCGGAACCGCAGCTGATGAACGGGCACATATGGATGGAGAGCAACGGGCGGGGCAAGGGGGCGACGTGCAAGTTTCTGGCCATGCTCAAGCTCCCTGCCTCCCTGCCTGCCTGCCTGCCTGCCTGCCTGCCTGCCTGCCTGCCTGCCTGCCTGCCTGCCTGCTTATAAACGCGAACATCGGGATAAAGAGATCGCTCTCATGCCCCCTTCTCCCCCTCCCTCCCTGCCTCCCTCCCTCCATGCCTCCCTCCCTCCATGCCTCCATCCCTCCCTCCTGCCCCTCCCGCGTCCACGGCAGCTGATGAACGGGCACATCTGGATGGAGAGCAACGGGCGCGGCAAGGGCGCGACGTGCAAGTTCCTGGCCATGCTCAAGCTGGACGCCGAGGGCAGCGACCGCAGCGACGAGGACGAGGACGAGGGGCCCGACGTCAACTTCTTTGCTCTGCGGGTGAGATGATCATCGTGGTTGGAGGGGAGGGGAACAGTGGGGTTGGAGGTGAGGGGAGTGACTGGTGGGAGGAGGACCCGGGCGAGAGGGGCCGCGGCAAGGGCGCGACGTGCGAGTTCCTGACCATGCTGAAACTCGACGCCGAGGGCAGCGACCGCAGCGACGAGGATAAGGACGAGGGGCCTGACGTCAACTTCTTTGCTCGGGTGAGATCTTCGGGGGGGATGTGTTTTTGTTTCAAACAAAAACGGGAGGGAGAGGAGGGAGGGAGGGGAGGGGTAAGAGGGCAGTGACGGCAGCGTTGAGGACCAGGACGAGGGGCCCGATGTCAACCTCTTTGCCCTGCGGGTTAGGGGAATGTATGGGGAGGAGGAGGGCAGTGATGGGCAACTAGGGCGATGGAGCAGGGGAGGAGGAGGGCAGTGACGGCAGCGTCGAGGGCCGGGACGAGGGGCCCGATGTCAACCTCTTTGCTCTCCTACGACTTCCTAGAAGGACGTGGTTGTCGTGACAATGGTGATGGGTGACAGTATGGTCAGCAGGCTGGTATAAAATCTTAGCCGAATCTCGAAGCTCCTTTCTTCCTTCCCCCCCTTTCCCCCTTCTTCCCCCTCCCTTTTTCCCATTCCCCCCCTCTCCCCCCTTTCTCTCCGTCCCCCCTTCTTCCCCACTTTTCTCCCTTGCCCTCCCTTTCCCCCGTTTCCCTCCCCCAATCCACCCATGGCAGATCATGGTGGTGGATGACAACATGGTGAACCGACTAGTGACGAAGCGTCTGCTGGACCGCATCGGCATCTCAACGCGCGTGGTGGAGTCGGGCAAGGAGTGTCTGCGCATCCTGGCGGAGGAGCAGGACGAGGAGAAGTACGACGTGTTGCTGCTCGACCTCATGATGCCCGAGGTGGGTTGGTGGGGGGGAAGGGAGGCGCAGGGGTGGGAGTGGGTGTTAATCAAAGCAAGGTCAGCACGGGAGGAGCAGGACGAGGAGAAGTATGATGTGCTGCTGCTTGACCTCATGATGCCCGAGGAGGGTTTGTTGGGGGGAGGGGGAGGAGGGGAGGGGGAGAGGGGATGGTGGTTGAGGGGGGTGTCCTCTTGGCCTAGTCGCATCCTGACGCAGGAGCAGGACGAGGAGAAGTACTACGTGCTGCTGCTCGACCTCATGATGCCCGAGGTGGGTGGGGTGGGGAGGAGGGGTTGGGGGAATGGGGGTAATACTCCTTCGAAGCACAACGTTGGGTGGAATAATCAAGGCGAGGTCCATTCAGGTACACTCTCCTCTCCTTTAGATTACGCCGTTTAGCATTCCACGCTTGTGCCGAGCCAACCCTCACAGCCTGTCTCTGCTCAGGCTCCCACACCCCACACGGATGGACGGGTACACGGTGGCCTTAAAGATCCGCACAGAGCTCAAAGCAGGACCTGCAGCCGACGGTAGTTGCACCCTTGCGCCAACCCTCACTCACAACCCGCCTCTCCCCCCTTAACCTCCCCAACACTTTCACCTCCCCCTTCCCCTCCCAACCCCTCCTCCAGATGGACGGATACACGGTGGCCAACAAGATTCGTACGGAGCTAAAGGCAGAGCTGCGGCCAATGATAGTGGCGCTGACGGCCAACGCGGACGAGACGACCAAGGACCAGTGCCTGCGCCACGGCATGGCCGGCATGATCACCAAACCCATCTCGCTCAATGCGCTTCGTGACGTGCTCGGGAAGATGCTCGACCAAAACGCACGGAACAACTGAGGAGGCGTGAAGGTGCTTGGGAAAATGCAAGATTAAAATGCACGGAATCACTGGGGACTTGTGAGATGGAAGCAAGGCAAGATATTTGTGGTTGTGACCTATGTGGTAGTTAATTGAAGTAATGCAAGATATTAGTGGTCCTGATACCCTTTGCAACGATGTTTATGATTATGCTTGCATTTTGCCAGTCATTCTGGATAGTCACCCAGGTAATACCAGCATAGCAATATTTGTGCGGTAAGTTCTATAAACATGGTGGAGTTGAAGGATCCCCTGTGGAGGTAGCAACATAGCAATTATTGTGTTCGCAAATGCGTAATACTTATCGGTACATTCCTTGTAGGTATTGAATGAAGCTGATCCTGACAAAATCCCCTGAGATCCCACCAACCTTGCGGATCCCAATTTTCTGGGGCAGCTCTGTATTCTCATAAACGGGAAAACTCCCTCTCCCAGGTTTGGGATCTTTGCTTTCACAAGTTTTGTACAAATTGAATGGATGAACGCTGCTCGAAGTATAAGCAGAGCCAGGTGAATACATGAATATAGCTGCCTGGTTTGAGGAGGACACTTCAGGCAAGAAGGGTGGTTATTTAGCAATCTTTGGGCGTATCCGAATCACCCCAGCATAGCCATGGCAAGGTGGGTAGGCGTCACACTGAGGGTCCGTGCTGAATTCTTGGAATCGTAACTAAATGAATGGGAATCGCATTTCTGAGATTCTACTCGAATACAACATTTGAGGGTACAGCGCACATTGCATTTGCTCTGAAAAATCATACGAACTAAGTTCTATCGGGAAGGGGAACCAGAAAGAAAAACAACAGCGGTCAACAACAGTGATGTTCTTTTCACCTGAATCACACCTGAAACTCGACCTGAACTCAACTGCGGTGCGATAAGTCACAATCACCTGGCTTTGCCTCTGAAAAGTTTTCAGGTTCGTTCATATAGCCGGCTTTTGGACGAATCGCGCAATACCGTCCAGCCATCCTAGCTTCAGGGTCCAGGTAGGGTTCATTTTTCGGATCCCTTTGGGGAATACCCTACGTATCTGTGTTATTTAATTATCGCAAAATGACACATATGAAGAAGCCTCAAGACAAGCACTTCCGTTTATTCAGGTAAACGCCGAATGAAGAGTGCTAGTGTTCCACTGAGCAGCTGTTTCCTCAGTTGATATCTCCACTCTCGATTAAAACCGGAGTCCCAAACAGCCCAAAACTGCCTCAACCTTCCTAACTTTGGTTGGGCGTGACCGAGTTGATACCGAATCTCCTCGCAAATTGTTGGGACGATTTTCGCTAAGCGAAATTACTGTTCTCGCGAGGACGACAGCAGTGACAACTTCGCAAACAAAATTGCAGCCCGTCCGAAACAGTTTGCGAACCCGTTCGGACGTAGCATTCCAGATCTGGTTACACTCGCGAGTTTATAATACTTTGCGACCCGCTACCACTGATTTCGACACCACCCTGGCTCGCGAGCCAGTCACTTTTCTTGCCCCTATCAACCTTCCTAACTTCGAAACTCTTGGACCTCCGGTATGCTTCCGAAACGACTTGAATGTGTCTGATTTACTATGCGTCGCTCCCCCAAAAACTCCGGGTAGACGAAATCATCCGAATGATGGCGATATTCCGGTACAATTGTGCGCGACTCGATCGATCAATTTCCACCACGCCTTATCACTTCTTCCCCCAGCCACCTGCCCTTGCCCTACTTCTCCAGACACTGAGAAGTAGGGCAAGGGCGAGGGCCAGGCATCCAAGTACAAAGCCAACGAGGCAATTGATGTTTCTCAGAACACCCAAGCTCTGCCCTGGGTATTGAATATAGCAATCAGTTAGGATTTCCTCCAGAGAAGCTCCGATCCAGTTCTCCACGATGGCGCGTTTGGCTTTCCTCGTCGCATCCCTGTCAGTGCTTCTGGTGGTGGCTTCTGCTCAGAAGCCAACCCTTCAGACTGGACCCAGCAACCCGACGGTCAACCTCGATCAAGCCAAGGGCGCGAATGGCGTCGTGACGAACGTCCCTACTAGCATCGAGAAGGCAGCGGATGACGGCAAGCTGGCTTCATTGAAGGGCCAGACCGTCGTGAGCACGACCACTGACAGTATTCTGCTGGTGGCCGTGAAGAATTCCGCGTGGAACGCCATGAAGTGCAAGAACGGCATGAAGGGTATGGACGCGATTGGCAAGGGTGCGTGCACTCCTCAGAACTGCTCGTTCGGTGGCATCGCCGCCAAGTGGAAGACGTCGAACCTGCTCAAGAACAAGCTGGGAGTGGAGGTGTACGTGAAGGGCAACCCCCTGACGGTGAAGAAGGCGTCCCCGCAGACGTGCTGCAACTCGTGCGCGGGCTACCCCGGCTGCACGTACTGGCAGTACATCCCCGATATCACCATCGACGGCAAGAAGTCGGACGGCGCGTGTTACCTGGTGCACGACAACATCGACTTCACCTGCGGTGAGATGACGGCGCAGTATGCCACGGACTCGAAGCCCATTCAGCTGCAGGTGCGCACGGGTGGCGAGTGCAACCCATTGGCGAAGGTCGCTAACGACCCGCATCTGGTGGGCGCGTACGGGACGCACTTCGACTTCAACGGGCGCCCAGACAAGGCTTTCTGCCTCCTGGCTGACAAGGACCTGCACATCAACATGCTGCTGCGCGGTTACTACTCTGACGACACTGAGAATGCGGCGCTCGTCGTCGACGGCAAGGCCGTGCACACGTGGATCAAGGAGCTCGGCATCATCTGGTTCGCCAACGGCGCCGACCACAAGGTGCGGCTCGCGGCGCGCGGCGGCAAGCAGCAGGAGCGCGGCGACGGATTCATGAAGACCATCGAGATCGACGGCAAGGTGATGCCGAGGATGAACGTCGGCGACGAGGTGACGACTGAGGGCGGTCTGACTCTGCGATTCGCGGCGCTGGAGAAGGAGGGTCCGTATGACGTGGACTACTACACGCTCGCGATCGACGGGCTCGTGGCGCTCGACCTGCGCCTGCGCGTCGCCAACCCCAAGCTGCAGACCCCCAACGACGCCGAGGCGCACATCAACGTGGGGATTGTCGAGCTGGAGCACACCGACGACGTGCACGGCGTGCTCGGCCAGACGTACCGCCCCGACCACGCGGAGCGCGCCGCCAACTTCCAGAAGCTGATCGCCAACCTGCACCGTCCGATCTCGGCGGAGAGCGAGGAGGGCGCTGGGTTCCTTGACGGCACTCCCCGCATGTACGAGTCGAGCTCCGTGCTGTCCGTGGACTGCGCGTACACCGAGTACCACCGCGCCAAGCAGCTGAGCCCCCTGCAGTAAAGAAATGGAATCCGTGGGTGATTTCGGTGGGATTTTCTTCGGTGGGCTGATTTGGTTGGCTGATTTATGCGCAGAATACCTGCGTATTTGTATTGTAGGTGGGCTGGTATTGCTTTGTAACTTCATAACTTAATTCTTTCAGTGATATTGATTCCTTTTCTATTCTGCTGCAGCCGCACTGCACTAGCCCCAAAGCTGAATTCTTGTTTAGAGATGCAGGTGATCTTGCAAATCTGAGGTTCAATTATATGTAACTTGTTTATCATCAGTAGCTATAATTATGACAAAAAAACGTCATTTCTTGTCCTAGAGCGCAACATGGAGGAGGCATTGGCTCTACACAGCATGCATTGGCCCATGCTGCGATCAGGATCACCTCGGGAAGGTTCACACACTTCTAGTCTAGTGGTGGTGGGCCCTTGACCTCAATGGCAGAGTGAATGTAAATGCTTGAGATGATAAAAACATGCAGTACAAGAAATATAAATAAGAGTACAAGGGAATTCGAAACGACCTAGCTAGCCATGTACTCCAAGGGGTACATTCCCTTATTGCATCGAGATCCAACCGTGCGACTCCGGGTGGTTACGAAACCGTACGAGCAGAATCCCTGCCACTACTGCTGCCTGATGCTGTCTGCCCGACGGTCCAGATGCTTCTCGTAACCGTGTGACCCTTCGTTTCACTTGCGCCCTTTCATCTTTATTCTCGGTAGTGCGTGCCTCGATTGCTACGGAGGGGAGTGCATAATAGTGTTTCAATAACCACTATTCGTAACACCCCCCTTCACTCCTGGCCGTAGCGAGCATTGACCCGCTTGACTACCCCGCTGAGTTCGGAGCAGTGCTGGTACTGCTGACGCGGCAGTTTCTTCGTGAGGAAGTCTGCTGCCATGTCACCAGTCGGGCAGTAAGTCAGGTCAACCTTGCCTTTGTCAACTTCGTCCTTGACGAAGAAGTACCGCAGTGCGATGTGCTTGGTGCGGTTGACGAATCCAGGTTTGTTCGCGATCCTGATCGCACTCTGGTTGTCGCAGTGCAGACGAAAATTCGCCGAGGTCGGGATTTTCGCCTCCTGCAACAGCTCCTGAAGGTAGAGACCTTCGCGAACAGCCGCTGTTGCTGCGATAAATTATGCTTCTATCGATGACAGGGCAACCAATTCCTGCTTCTGAGAATTCCAGGAGATGGGGCCGCTGAGCTCGAGGCGGAAGAGGAATCCTGTCCTGGACCGACGATTGTCAGGATCAGCGGCGTGATCGGCGTCCACATAGCCGATGAGACTGAAGGATTCGGTTGGGATGGTGGAGTAGCAGAGCCCGACATTGGGCGTAGAGATGAAGAATTGGAGGGCTCGCTGAAGATCTGAGAGATTCTTAGCCGTTGGTTTGCGTGAGTACAGAGCCAACTGGCTCGCGATGTATGAGAGGTCGGGCCTGCAGGTGACGGACGCAAAGAGCAAGCATCCCAACTGCTGCTGGTAGGTGTGAAGTCTAGCAGGGGACAGGGCTTTGTTGTCAGGTTTGTGGTTGGGTCCTGGAGTGCGGTAAGGGGTGGAGAGTGGTGTAGGTGAGATGTTGAAGCGCTTGCTTAGCTCCTCTGCATATTTCGCTGCTGAGAGATGAATGGCTTCCGGCGAGTAGGTGACGTTGAGCCCGAGAAACTGCTTCACGTCATGATTGCAGGTAATGTCGACGTGCCCTGCGAGACTCTTCTCGAATTGCTCAAGCAGTTCATTGCTTGACCCTGTGTAGAGAAGGTCGTCGACGTAGACCGTAAGTAGGTTGTATTCACCGCGGAAATTGCGGCGATACATCCCAGGGTCGTGAGGCAGCTGCTTGAATCCGATTTCAAGCAGTATGTTGTGCAGATACTGCTGCCAGAGTCTCGGCGCCTGTTTAATCCCATACAAGGACTTGCGTAGCTGACAGACACGTGGGTCTCCGTCTCCGTAAGTGTGCGGCTGCTCGACGTAGATCACTGCATCTACTAACGCGTATAGGAACGCGTTTTTCACATCAATCTGTCGTAGCGGCAGGTGTCGTGCGGCTGCGATGGCGAGGAGAATTCTGACGGACGTGTGTCGGCTGACCGGTGCGAACGTCTGGTCGAAGTCGATTCCATGCCTTTGATCGTAGCCTCGCACCACCCATCGTGCCTTGAATCGCTCGATTGTCCCGTCAGCTCCTGTCTTCACGCGGAAGACCCATTTGCCGGAGAGGATTCTTCTCCCCTTCATTGCTGCACGGTCGACGAGCACCCAGGTGTCGCGTGACTCGAGTGCCCGGATTTCCGCATCCATTGCTTCACACCACTCCTTGCTGTGTGGGCCTGTGAGAGCTTGCCGTGGGTTTTTAGGCTCGATGATGCTCGGAGCAGTGGAGATGGCAGCGTGAAGTCCCAGTAGCTGAAGGCCAGTAACGGTGCTGTCGTGGCGATGTTGAGTGACGACTTCCTGCATGTCGTCATCATCGCTTTCTGGTTCAGATGGCGCTGGTGGTGCTGTGCCTTCGTCGCTTCCGCTTCCTCCTGCTGCGCCTTCTCCTGCTGCGCCTCCTCTTGCGCCTGCTCCTCCTTCTCCTGAATCATCGTCGTCGTCGTCGTTGTGACGATCGCCTCGCGTGAACTCCCCTCTGGGATCTTGCTCCAGGATGGCCGCGGCAGCTTCATCTTCTGGCGTGGCATAGCTGTGCCCGTCATTGGCGTAGATGCGGTTCGCGTTCGTCTGCTCGTCTTCGCGAAATTGCCGAAGGAAGAGCCGCTCGTAGAAGATGACGTCGCGCGCATTCTTGATTTTCTGGCTCAAGAGATCCAGGATGATCCATGCTTTGTGTTCGTGGATGATGCCGAGGTGGATTCCCCAGCGCGCGCGGCTCTTGAATTTCCCGATGGTTGACGTTGGCGGTCGGTATTGAACCATGCACCCCCATACGCGGAGCATGGAGGTGGCCCCCTTTCTTCTCGTCCACTACACAGGTGGCGAGGAATTGCCGGTGATCGCGGTGGTTGACAACAGGTTGTGCACCCGCACGGCGTGGTGCATTACGTAGGTCCAGTAGATCGGCGGGAGCTTCGACTGCCTCATTAGCGCCCGCACCTTCGTCATGAGGGTGCGATTCGTGCGCTCTGCTACGCCCTGCTGCTGGTGCGCGTAGGGGAGAGAGATGTGGTGCTCGATCCCCTTTTGCCCAAGGTAATCTTGCAGCTCCTTGCTCCTGAATTCTGCCGCACCGTCGGACTGCCAGATCTTCAATTCCTCCCCAGATTGCCGCTGCGCGTGCGCCAGCCACAGGCGGAACGCTTCGTAGGCTCTGCTGCGTGCTTCCACGTTTACGACCCACACGTGGCGCGTTCCGGCGTCGACGAAGGTGAGTGTGTAGAGCTCGTCGTTGATGCCGCAGTGTCCTACGTTGAGAAAGTCACTGTAAACTTTCTCCAGCTTGGCGTAGCGATTGGTTCCTGGCTCGAGCAGGGGGAAGGGCTGGTGACTCAGCGCAGCTTTGGGGCAGATGGTGCAAGTGCGCGGGTGAGTTCCGCCTCTTACTTCGGAGCCGTCAGGGCGCAGCAGTGCGCCAGGTGCGAAGACACCGGCCTCAATGCAGTTCTTCAGGGTCACGCGCGAAGGGTGACACAGGCGTTGGTGCCAGATGGTATCGTCGGCGCGGAATCCGGAGGTGCGCATGTAGCGCGCGAGTGCTTCTGCGGGGTCTTCGTCAGGTGCTGGTGCAGGTGTAGGTGCTGCTCCCTCGTTCTCTACTTCTTCTTCCTCGTGCGCCGTTGTTAGCATGAGGGCAAGAAATTCTCTGTCGCGGATGATTGAGTAGGAGTTGTTGGTCACGGGGATCGTGCCAGGGATAAAGGTCGGTTCACGCGGTTCAGGGGCAGGTCCGTAGACAGTACGACGTGGGGTGGATGGCTCATTACCCCAGTCAATGGTGTCCCAGGGGTCACTTCCTGAAGGGATATCTGGTGGCGGTGGTGCTAATGCAGGGCGGCGCGGAGGGCGTCCGAGAGGAACAACGGGAGGTTCTGCCTCAACTTGCGCAGGTTCTTCCTCCTCTTCCCCCCTTTGATCCTCGCGGAAAGCTCCCCAGCCGCTCGTCTCGCCGCCTTGCGTGGCGCCCCATCCGCCGACATTTTCGCCTGTTGCTGCGCCCCATCCGCCGGTTGCGGCTCCCCACTCGCCAGTGTCGCTCGTTCCCCATCCGCTAGCACTCCCCCACCCCCCTTCATTGGAGGCGCTTTTCTCGTCGTGCTCCCAGGCGAGTGTTCCACGCGCTTCGGCGAGACTCTTCTGCCGAAGCTCTTCGGCTTCGCGTTGCGCCAGCGCCTCTTCCTCCGTAGGCGAGAGTTGCTTCTTTGAATCACGCCGGTGAGAGTAGATCTCCGCCCCTTCTTTTCGGTGTAAGGTCATGGGTTGCCATGTGCGTCGAAGGTGCCGACGCCGACGCCGCGGAGCAGTCCTTGGAGATGTTGGGATGCGGGTCCGGGGAGAGGATGTTCCGGTGTGCCGAATACGACCCGTGTAGCTGTCTCCAGCTCCAGTTGGGATAGACCCTCCTCAGGCGGTGCGTCACGTTCTACTTCGATGATGGCGGCAAGGCCGCGACTGGCGATCGCGCTCGTCGAGGACGTGTGTGTGTGGCAGTCCCTGCAGACGCTGTCAGGATCGGGGTCGTGCAGCGCCAGCTCGCGCGGGTGTGGGTGGTGTGGCACCCAGGGGCGCCCATCAGGGTGCTTCCAATCGCGGCAATGAATGTGTTTGAAGCGCAGGGGGACGAGATCAATCAACTCCTGCGAATCGCCGCTGCAGTCGGGAATGTCGAAGTCGAGAACGTATACTCCGTTCTCGGCGCGCGCCCGTCCGATCTGCTTGCGCTTCTTGTTCGGCATTGTGAAGTGAAGCAGAATGTCGCGCGTCTCGGGGTCGGTGCTGAAGAGGACTCCGCAATCCAGGAGCTGCGCCGCCGAGAGTAAGTTGAAGCGCAGGTTCTGCACAAT